CTTCCTTCCTTCCTTCCTTCCTTCCTTCCTTCCTCCCTCCCTCCCTCTCTCTCTCTCTCTCCCCTCCCCGCCTTCCTTCCCACCCCCAGTGCTCAGCACAATGCCTGGCACGTAGTAGGTGCTTAATAATATTTATTGACTATAAGGTTATTGTGAGGATCAAACGAGCTAATATCCATAATATCCATTTGCAAACTTTAAAACTCTTCATAATCACTTACTGCTCTTGTTGGAGATGTCCTTCTTCTTCCTGCCACCCAGCCCAAGTTTCTTCAAGGTTTCATAGATGCTTGGGGCAGGGATACAGGAGCCCTATTGGATTTCCCAGGATGGTGTTAACTTCAAGAAAAGAAAATGTAGTTTACACAAACTATCAAAAAAGAACACTGTCCACCATACTGTGTCACCAAAAATATGTTCCGTTCAATAATGATAATAGCAAATGTTTTAATTTATGCCTTAAAGCTTGTAAAACACTTTGCATAGATGATCTCATTGGATCCTTACAACATCCCTATGAGGTAGGGGCAGTTGTTATCAACCCTACTTTACAGATGAGGAAACTGAGGCTGAGGGAAAGGGACTTTGCCTAGGGTCTCAAAGCCTAACCTTCTTCAAAGCTTGAGGAATTCAAACCTAGATTTCCTGCTACATCATACTGAGGGTGTTAGAAGCCTGGGGGACCACGTGGCAGAGTGGAAATGACACTGAATTTTTAAGTCAGAGAACCTAGATGTCAATTCCTGCTTGGCTACCTTACATGTGTGACCTTGAGCAAGTCTCTTCTCCTCCCTAGACCTCAGTTTCCTTGTCTGTTGAGGAAGCAGGGTAAAGTGGTAAGAAGGTCTGGAATCAGAGGGCTTGGGTTCAAATCCTGTCACTTATTACTTGTGTGATTTTAAGCAAGTTGCTTAACTTCTCTCGGCCTCAGTTTGTTTATCTGTAAAGTAAGGGGATTAGTCGAGATGGCCTCTATGTATGGTCTCTTTAGGCTCTAAACCTATGATCATGTGAAGGAGTTGGCTGAAATGATCTCTAAGTACCTTCCAGTTCTAAACTCCTATGATCTGATGACTGAATGGACAAGAAAGTGGAAGGGGGTGGTGTGACCTGCTGGATAGCTGCTGAGCTAGAGGACTGGACATGGAGTGGAGAAATAACCGTTTGGAGATCCTGGGGCTGTCTTGAATGAATGGAGAATGAGGACAGGGATGCTATGCTGCAGGGCTGGGGGAATGAGAGATAGAAGGATAAGGCATTGAAGGGCTGGAGAGATGGAGGGAAGGGAAAAATGAAGATGGTTTCAAAGGATCCAGGAGTTTGGGGCCAATGGGGAGATAAAGATTTGCGTTTGGAGGCCCAAAGGCAGAGTTCTGACCACTTTCCCCAGCAAACCCCAAACCTTTGGGATAAAAATAGAAACTCCTCAGTCTGCTGGTTATGGTCCTTAACAACAGACTGCTGCCTACATTTCTAGACTTCTTCTCCATTACACCCCTTTATACTCTCTAAATTCATAAGGCCATAGATCTGGAGCTGGAAGGCTCCTTAGAACACAGAACGTTGGCATACAGGGAGCCTCGGTGGCTACTTAGCGCAGTCCCTTCATTTTACAGAAAATGAGGCTCAGGGACGTTAAATATTCACAGGATAATGGAGCTGGAATGGACCTCAGAGAACATTTAGTCCAACCTCCTCATTTTCCAAATGAAGCTAAGTGGGTTGCTTAAGATGAAAGAGGTAGAAACATTCTGTGGCAGGATTGGAATCCAGCTCCTCTGACTCATGGCTGCATCAGCAGCAGCAACCTTGCTGCTATATCACTTAGCACTCCCGTCACCCTGGACTATAGCTAAGCCTTGATCGGTGTAAATAATGAATCCCCCTGAAGTGGTCTCACAATTCAAATTCACACTATATCTTTCCATTGGGTTGGTACTAATGACTGTATTTTACTTTAAATAGCTTGATTTCAAACATATGTGACCACTTCACTGCATTCATTATTTACTCTAATCAAGACCTAGTTGTAGCAATTAGTTCCTGCCTGGGGGTACGTGTTCAAGCCTTTCCTTGTCCTAGAAGTGCACTGTCTCTTCCCCTCCATCCCAAGAACTTGGATTTTTAACATTGTGTGTGTGTGTGTGTGTGTGTGTGTCTCCTGGACTCCCTGGGCAGTCTGGTGAAGCCTAAGGACTTCTCAGAGTACTGCTTTTAAATGCAAAAATTAAAATACAGACGATTTCTGAGCTCAGATTCCATCTCAGACACTTGACACTTACTAGCTGTGTGACCCTGGGCAAGTCACTTAACCCTGATTGCCTCATCAAAAAAAGAAAAAAATAAAATAAAACAAAATACAGAGGATTACAAAGAAAACCAACTGTATGGAAATACAGTTTGCAAAATTCTTTTTAAAAATAAGTTCTCAAAATTGAGAGGATGCCCATCAATTGGGGAATGGTTGAGCAAGTTGTGGTATATGAATGTGATGGAATACTATTGTGCTATAAGAAATGATGAGCAGGCACATTTCAGAAAAACCTGGAAAGACTTGTATGGTCTGATGCTGAGTGAAGTGAGCAGAACCAAGAGAACATTGTACACAATAACAGCCACGTTGTGCGATGACTAATATTGATAAACTTAACCCTTCCTGGCAGTACAAGGATCCAAGACATCTCCAGAGGCCCTGTGATGGAAAATACTATCCACATCCAAAGAAAGAACTATGGAAGTTGAATTGCTATTTTTTTTCTCTTCTTTTGAGTTTTGTTTCCTCTTTCTGATGGTTCCTCCTATTGGTTTTAATTTTTACTTACAACATCACTAATGTGAAAATATGTTTAATATGATTGTAAATGTATAGCCTATATCAGATTGTGTGCTGTCTTGGGGAGGATGGTAGGGAGGAAGGGGGAAAAATTTTAAACTCAAAAGCATATGGAAGTGATTATTGATAAATCAAAATAAATTAATAAAAAAAACAAAAAAAAACAAGTTCTCAACTGTGTGACCCTGGGCAAGTCACTTAACCCCAATTGCTTCCAAAAAACAAAAACAAATAAAGCAAGTGCTTGGACCTAAGGTTAGGAGCTCATCTTAGAGACCCATCTCTAGCTTCCTTCAAGGCCTAGTGCAACTGCTGATTTCCTGTAAAACGTTCCCTGATGCCCCAATGTTCCCTCTTCCCCTCTTCAAGTTACCTTATGTTCACCAGTGTGACTGGATGTTGTATTATTCCCTCAGTAGAATGTGAGCTGTTTAAGGGAAGAGTCCACTCATCTCTGTATCCCTGTCCAGGTCTAGCATAATGCCTGGCACGTGGTAAACACCTAATAAATGCCAGCTGAACTGTTGAATCGAACCCTGAGCTCCCTCTGAACAAATACAAAGCTCTCAGCCCCTTCTAGCTTGTATTCATTCACTCTGATCTCTGCGAAGGAAGAGAAGCCACTGATGACCCCATTGTGCCAATGGAGCTAGAGGAATGAGACATAGTGACTTTCCCATGATTAGGGCTGCTGTCAGGAAACAATGAGCCTGGGACTGATTCTTCTCTCTCCTTTCCCCGTGGCACAGAACAGGCCCGAGAACAAAACAGAATTTTCTCACCTTCAAGTTTGTCCTTCCTCAGATGTTGGGGTTGGAGCCTGGTGGCCCACAGCTCTGTAAACTCCTCCAGCTGGTGGCCAGCCCCCTTTATAGTCACTGTCCCATCCTTCTCACTGCCCCAGCTGCTTGATCCCACCCTGGGCCCTTCTTGGCAACCAAGGAAGCTTGCTCTTTCCCCTTTCTCTGGGATACTTTTTAATGAGCAACAGTAGCTGTATTCCAAAAATGAGAAGGATGAGGGAATTTCCAGGTTACTCTGAGAGCAGTAGTGCTGTGAACAGAAACAGAACTGGCCCATGGCCCAGACTGGCCCCAGGAGCAACATGCTGGCCTCAGAGAGTCATGGCAAGAAAAGGGAAGGACAAGAATGTCAGAGCTGGGATTGGGGGGAGGGAGGTAGAAAGGGTCAGCGGAATGGGGACCTGAAGTTTAGAACACAGAATATTAGAGCTAGTAGGATTTTAGAATGAGGAATGCTAGAACTGGGAGGGCCTTTTTTAATTTTTATTTATTTTTAGGCAATTGGGGTTAAGTGACTTGCCCAGAGTCATACAGCTAGTAAGTGTCAAGTGTTTGGTCTGAGGCCAGATTTGAATTCAGGTCCTCCTGACTTCAGGGCCAGTGCTCTATCCACTTCACCATCTAGCTACCCCTGGGAGTGCTCTTTTAACACAATGGGAGGGACCTTAGAACACAGGATGTCAGAGCTGGGAGGGCCCTTAGAACACAAAATATCGGAGGTAAGGGTTCTCAGAATACAGAATATCAGAGCTGGAAGGGCCCTTAGAACACAAAATATCAGAGGTGAGGGTCCTTAGAGTACAGAATGTCAGAGCTGGGAAGGACATTGTAAGGTGAAAGGCCAGAGCTAAAAGAGACTTTGGAACACAGGATGTCAGAGCTGGAGAGAGATTGTCTAACTCACCCCTTTCATTTAAACATTTTTTAGGGGTTATTTTGAAAAATCTCCTTTTTATTGGTATCTTTTGTTTTTACATCACCTTCATTCCTGAATATACCCCTCTCGCTCCCTTACCCAGTGAACCATGCTTTATAAGCAAGATGAAAAAGTAAAAAAAGAAAAAAAAAAGGTCAGCAAACCCAAACAGAATATTAATTGTGCCTGACAGTTTGTGCAATATCCCACACCCATGGTCCCACACCTTTGTGAAGAGAGGAGGGAGGTGTCCCGACTCAGTTCTTTGCAGAGTCAAGCTTGTTTGTTATCAATTTCAGTTTTGTGTTGTTGTTTTTTTAACATCGATGTTGCTGGAACTATTTTATATGTTGGTTTCACAGTTCTTATTTTATTTTGCATCAGGTCATATACCTAGCCAGCCTTCTCTGAATTCTGCATATTTTTAAAAATTTTGTATGGTGCAGAAATATTCCATTGTAATTCCACACCACAATTTGTTTAGCCATCCACCCAAGTCACAGGAATCTACTTTGTTTCAGGTTCTTTATTACTAAGGAAAAGTGCTGCCAAACATAGTTTGGTGTGTAGGGGGTCTTTTTTTTTTTTTTTTTTTACCATTGATCTCCTTGATGTATATACCTAGCTGAGGCAATCTCTGAATCAAAAAATATGGATATTTTTGTTAAAATTTTAGCATAGTAACAATAATAGTAATATTTATATACCATTTTAAAATTTGTAAAGTACTATATATACACATACACATGTATTTATATTGTGTATAAGTATACATATATATGTATATATATTCCCAAATTGCTTTCCAGAACCCAATCACTTACTTTTCTAGAAGTTACTGTAGCCCAAGAAGAGAAATGATTTGCTTGAAGTCAAACTGCTGTTTGGAAGTGTCAGGACAAGGACTAGGAGCTAGTTTTCTTAATTCTAAGCCCATAACTTTTGCTGCTGTATTTTACATTTCTCAAAATTCTGTTCCACTGGGAGAGAAATCAGTTCCAGCATCCTTGTAAAGGAGTCTCGAAATTTTTCTCTGGCTTTGTCATTGGCCCCGCCATGCCCAACAGACACACTCTCTCTCTCTCTTCCTACTCTGGAAGCCACCTCCACCTTCCTCAAGCTCTCCTAAACTCGGCAGCTAAGTCTCTTCCAATTCAGGAATGCTTTTCAGGTAAGGGTGAGGGTGGTGGGAGTGGTGCTGATGGCCAGGTCTTCTCTTACCTCTTATTCTCATCTTCCTGGTATTGACAATCCTGATATCTGTAAAAAAATAAAAACACAAAAAGCATGACTGCGAGTTGAGAGGTCTCTGACAAATTTCTGGAGGCTCCCTGTGAATCTTGGGCAGCTGGCAAATCTACCCTGTCCCAGAGTACCAAGCCCCAAAGGCCAGCCTGAAAGACACACCCTTTCTGTGCTTGTGAAGCAGGGAGCATGTCTGTATGTGCACATGGACTGATTGTTGACAACTTGGTTACTTGGGGCAACTGAATCAGTTCATGAACGATGGCTCATTATCATGGCCGATGTGTGCAAACATGCCCTTTTTTGAAAGCCAGGGGTTATACTAGAAGGCTTGGAATCAACAGAGCTGGGTTTGAGACCTGGCTCCATGACTTGGTAGATCCATGACCTCAGGCAAATCCCCTAACTTGCTTAGCCTCAGTTTACTCTTCTGCAAAATGGGGATCCACTCATTATTTTGTTTTGAATGCCTATTGCATGCACAACACTACATTGAGCCGTGAGAGAGATACAAAGTTTAGATAAAATGAAACAGATTACAATCTAACTGGGTGAGAAATCAAGTACACAGGTATCTATAGAGATGGGGATATTAGAAAGGTATAAAACAAAGTGCTATATGAGGAAAAAGGTTGTTACTACTGGGGCAATCAGGTAAGGTTTCCTGGATGAGGTGGCATTTGATAATAATTTGATAAGGTTTTATGGAATAAATAGGGATTTGACAGGTGAAGACAGAGATGGGAGAACATTCCAGGCAGAGGAAAACAATGCAACTAATGTTACTGAGGTGAGAAAGTGCAGGTGTTTTCAGAGAACAGTACAATTTGGGGCATAGACTGTGTGGAAAGGAGTATAAGGCTGGAAAGTGAGAGCCAGATTTAGAATCAGGAAGACTGATCATCTAACCCCTCAGTACCTTGCAAAGAGTATTTATTAAAAAAAAAAAACTATCATCAGTTCCGAATTCTCTCTTGCCTTCTACCCCTCCTCCACCCAATGAAAAGGCAAGAAATGCTATATCTATAATACATATGGAGTCATGTCACATTAGCTATGTTGCAACCAAAAAAAAAAAAAACCACAAAGAAGAACAAAGAAAGTAAAAAAAAACAAAAACAGAAACAAAACAAAACAAAACAAACCTACTTCCAGAAATCTGCATTCAGACTTCATCAGCTCTCCCTTTAGAGGTGGCGAGCATTTTCCATCGTGGGTCCTTTGGAATTATTATGGATCATTGGGTTGATCAGAGTGGCTGTAATTACAATATTGCTGTTTATATACAATGTTCTCGTTCTGCTCACTTCATTTTGCATTAGTTCATATAAATCTTCCCAGGTTTTTCTGAGACCATCTGCTTTGTCATTTCTTATAGCACAATAGTATTCCACTACAATCATATGCCACAAGTTGTTTAGCCATTCCTCAATTGATGGGCATGTCAAGTCCTGAAATAAATCAAAGCCATAACTTGAGGAATCAAGTGTCTTTAATTGAGATAACAGGTTAGCAAACCTCCCACCCTTGGGGAGAACCAATGGACTTTCCAATTCTAAGACCCATGCAAAAGCTTCTTATACTGTTAGCTGGAGTAGGGGAGGAGGCGGTATGAGGTAGCAAGGTCTGATCCTGAGACCCCAGTGGCTCTTGGCAGTCTAGGCAAGAAAGCCACTTCATTCTAGCTGTTTTGCCTTCATGCCATGAATCTGAATGGAAGAGGGCAAGGACACCAGTGGCTGAGATCCAGCTTGAGATGGGCTCTCCATAAGGCAATACCCCTAGGTGGGGGGGACCTAGGGTATAGTTTAGCTCAACCTAATCAAGAGTAAATATCTTAAGAGTAAGAATATAAGGACATTACTGAAATTCTGACATTACAAGAATCATTTAAAGGAGTAGCAGTCCATATTACATTTGGTATTAACAATTTCTGTCATATGAACAATTCTATTAACAATTTTCTGTCAGGTGTGCCCTCAGTTTCCAATTCTTTGCCACCACAAAGAGTTGCTGTAAGTATTTTTGGACAGATGAGTCTTCTTCTTTTTTTCTTTCATCTCTTTGGGGTACTGACCTAGTAATGGTCTTGCTAGAACAAAAAGTATGCCCAGTTTTACAGCTCTTTGGGCATATTTCCAAATTGTTCTCCAGAATGGTTGGATCAATTAACAACTCCACCAATGGTGCATTAATGTTCCTATTTTCCCACCATCCCTTTAGCATTTGTCATCTTCCTTTTCTGTTATGTTAGCCAATCTGACGGATATGAGGTGGTACTTGAGAGTTGTTTTAACTTGCATTTCTCTAATAGAGATTTAGAGCAATTTTATATGACTATTGATAACTTTGATTTCTCCTGAAAACTGCTTTTTTATATCCTTTGACCATGTATCAATTGGGGAATGGCTGTTATTTTTATAAATTTGGCTCAGCTCCCAATATACTTGAGAAAAGAGACTTTTTTCAGAGAAACTTTATATGTTTTTTTTTATTTTCCTGTTTTCCTTCTAATTGTGGCTACATTGATTTTGTTTGGGCAAAAATTTTTTAACTTCAGTGTAATTAAAATTATTCATTTTACCTCCCAGAGAGCTCTTTAAGACTACGAGTTGTAGAATAGTAGCTATCTACATTGATAGAGGGAGCTTTTTTCACTGAAAGTTCCTTTGCTGCTAAAAATGGAAAATATAGATAGGAAAAAATAAAACTGGGAAGGGAGAGAGTAGTTGAGGGCCTTGAATGCCAGGGAAAGGAGTTTGTACCTTGCTAAGGAGCCAATAGGAAATCATCAAGGGATTTTGAGCAGAGGGGTGACAAGTGACAACTAGATCTATAGAATGCTATAAAGATAATTCTGGAAGTTTGTTAAGGATGAATTGAATAGGGGTGAGAGTGGAAATAGGAACTCCTGTTAAGAAACTGTAACCTAGGTCTGTATCCCAAAGAGATCTTAAAAAAGGGAAAAGGACCCACATGTACATAAATA